ACAACAAGACCAAGTTGCGACAACGAGGTCAACCCAGTTCTATAAATCGAAAGGAGACTGCGACCATACCGGGGATAACACCATCCTGGTCATAATATCTTCGATTTAAAGCGTTGGTTTGCTGATTATGGTACGTCTGCTGGTAAAAGGAAGATAAGAGAGGCTGTTGAAATCAATTGATTATAGAATACACGGAATATGAGCAACGGTGGTAGACAGTTGAGTAAGAATTTCTCTTGCATGATTATAAGATTAAAGGAAAAAAAGGGCGTTGAGACGTCATACAAAAGAAGACGACTCAACCTGTAAGACCGGTGATTGTTTTAATCTCAATTATACTCGTCCAATATGTTAGTTTAAGCTCATTCACCACACCAGACGAGTTCAAGTCCACTGTCTGTGGCTTGGAATTATGACAACTACTATGGCAGACGACTTTGGATTAGGTGCGTTCTATACGTCGCCCTGACAACAAGACCAAGTTGCGACAACGAGGTCAACCAACTTCTATAAATCGAAAGGAGACTACGACCTCACCAGAGGCCACAACATCTTCATCTTCATATCTTCAGTTATTCTATTTTACTGCACCAATAACATGTATCGATAATTTCTTGAAAAGAAGGTTAATTATAAATATCGTATTTTGCTGTTATGATCTTAATTATATTAGCACACTTTCTACTTACATGTTATTTTGCACAACAGGCTCGTTATGTCAACCAGACGTACATCTGTCATTGAACAATCGTGTTTTTTTTTAGTAAACCGTTGGACGATTAAACCTTGATGTCAAAGAGTAAATATTGCATACTGTTATAGATACTCTGGGTTATCTTTAAAAGTAACCACCCGCTATCGTTCTTTGGCAAAATTGAATTTCGAATCTCTTCAGCAAATACTTTTGCTCGAAATGGAAGTAAGCTCAACAGTTATGAAAAAAGAGGCTCCTTGAAACCCAATTTTTCTTTGCATTTATTAGAAATTTTGTTCAAGTTCCAAGAGCGATCGGATCTGATGAGACCTCTTCATCATTCACTTTCACTCGAGATTGTACTCATATTAACGTCTAAATTTGAAGGTATGAAGACCAAGATAGTGTGGACTTTTGTGTGGTCGCAGTCTCCTCTCGTTGTATACAAGTTGTTTTACCTTGTTTTCGCAACATGGTCATGTTGGTAGGAAGACTTGGATTAATACACCTAGTCCGGAGTCCATTGTCTGCACACTTTATCTAAATAAACACGGTAAAAATAGTAATAGTGAAGGCATGATAGTATGCTACCGGAAACGCGAATAACCCAGAGCAAAAGGAGAGCTATCACAATTTTTCAGCACACGTTTGTTCAAAGGATCTGCTTCACTTGTCTCTTCGACGAGTGGTTGTGTGGTGCTAAGAATGGCGAGATTCACTGACGATGCCGGCGAAACATCTGGGAATGTACCAATTCCACGGTCCGACTTTGGAAATGATTATGCAGACAATGGACTCCAAACTCGGTGCGTTTCTCTTAGTCCTACTACCAATATGACCATGCTGTGAAGACAAGGTCTCAATGTGAAGTAAAACACACAACTAGAGGCAAAAAACCTCCAAGACATGAGTATGAATACGGTTTGGTTACCTGTTTTTCTTTTGTTCTTTGTTAACTTCCATAAAATGTTAATAGCCTATTCACAGGCAAGTGTTGTATGATATTTCTGTGAAATCCATTTTTTCGAATGGTGCAGCCAGTATTTACTGTAATTTCTCCGAGGCATAGGCATGGATGGGCCGTCTTGGCTCTCCTTCCAATCTCTCGGGATCAGCAAGTCAGCACTTTTTCTGCTTTCTTTGCCCTCCCTCGCAGGCGTTACCATCCTCTGTCCGCACTGTTTCCAGACTCACTGTAACGTCAACCCTGACAGACTCGTACTAGGCCCCGATTCGTCCGTCAGACCGGCTGACTGTGACATCAACGAAGAGGTGGGCAGCGACCGTTCGCTCGGAAGCGAGAAGATGCGCCCCATCCTCGAGGTCGCCAATAGCGCCCGAGTGGTCTGGCATTCGCGGCTGTCCGCCGAGAAGGGTACCGGCCTCCTGCGGCCCGAGGCGTCTCGTACCGCCTGCGTGAAGCACCGCTTCGTCGGCTCCGACGCCCACCAGCCGGACTCGACGGAGCCAGGTCGTCTCGGCCGGTTCGACGCCGTCTCGATGGCGCCGAGTCGAGGCCAACTGACTGGCGCACTCTTCGAGCGTCCCGACGTCCGGACGTCAAAGAGGTCGGCACCAACTTGCATTTTGTCACAACCCACGATTGTCACCACCTTCGAGACGAGTCCTCGAAACGGCTTCAAAGACGGCCCTGTCCCGAGCTGTGCAGGCGCAGTCGGCTCGACCGCCGGCCTACTCCCTCTGTCGCCCTCCTCCAGCTGTTCTTCGCCCGGATACCGTTGGCCGGGCTATCCGGAATTCAGCAATCCCACATCATTCCAGCCCATTCATTCGAAGCCGGCCTCGTCTCTACTGACCGTCGGCCTTCATCGCCACCAGTCACCGCCAACGATACAGCCGAGTCCCAACGGGCAGCTCAACCTGTGGGCTTCTGTCTCCGAAGCCGAGTCGACGGTGAGCTTGCACCATCTATTGCAATTGCACCCTGAACTTGGTAGATTTTTACAACTTTCCTCATCAAATAGACAAATAAAGTAGATCCTTTGACTAATTGTCTGCTTCTTAAGTCACGCCATCAAGCTGTCACACAATTAGCACTATTCAGATAACCTTTCATACAAGTCATCCAGGAAGAACTCACACACCTTGTTCAGACTCCATTGACATCATCATAATGTACAGTATCGGGCCCTGAACTTGGTAGATTTTTACAACTTTCCTCATCAAATAGACAAATAAAGTAGATCCTTTGACTAATTGTCTGCTTCTTAAGTCACGCCATCAAGCTGTCACACAATTAGCACTATTCAGATAACCTTTCATACAAGTCATCCAGGAAGAACTCACACACCTTGTTCAGACTACATTGTAATCATAATAATGTACAGTATCGGACCCTGGACTTGATAGCTTCCTAGACGATGACGTCAAGGCAACAAAGAAAGTAGAATTTTTGATAAAGTGTCTGTTTAACAGTTGTGCTATTTCTCATTTCGTTATATAACTTCGTATGATTTCATACAATATCCCATTTTCTTACTTTCCTATTTCAACCTAGTTCAGGTGGGTCCTTTTAAGCAGAATTTGTGAGAACTCTTCAAAATGGCAGTAGACATTCGGTCAAAGCATCGAAATTACATGCTCTTTTGACGAGTTGTAGTTTGTTGCTAAGAGTGGCAAGGCTCATTGACGATGCCGGCGAAGCCTACGGTCCGACACTGGAAATAATCCTGGATACTATACACTCCAGACTATGTGTGTTCATCAAATTACCCCCAACAATAGGACCCAGTTGCTAAGTAACTGGGTTTCCAAGAATCTCCTGAGATTCACTTGTTAAGGAGACCTTAATAAAAGTGTATGAATACGAGATTCATAGATTGGTCTCACCAGAAGACGACGGCTTTAATACAACTTTCAGGTTGACGCAGTCCACAATATACCCTCCCTCGCTTCGGGTGAAAGCGGTTTGAGCTTTCGTCCATCATAAGATGGACATATTCAGAGCTGGGTGTCATTCTAGTAAAAGTCTCAAGGTAAAATTTTGTCAAGAAGACTATCCGGCTCTATCTGACCTCATATATTATCACAACTGAAAACAAAAATGAATAGGCATAGATAGATATAGG